GCAGAGACTCGCCTCAGTATTCACGACTCACCAATCCCCGCTGACGATCAAGACACCGTGGAAACATTTCCAGCGCCTCCTGATCCTGTTGGTGGTAAGTTTTATTGTCCCCTAGCACCTCCACCCCCCTCCCCATCACGGTTTCTTGCCTTGCTAATCACAGATGTAACAAAACCTACTGGCGATTAACACCTTGAGCACTAGTAAGAGGTTGTACATAAGTTCGCTGCGGTCAGACGTCAGTTTTCTTTTCGGAGATTTCCTTCTTTTTAAGGGACCGTTCATTTTTTACAAGGTGGGGGGGCTGGTGGGATTTGGGGGGGGTCACGCAAACACCGGCTTAAAAGGGGGGCCATCCATTACATGACAGCGTTCAGTTCCACGACAACAATTTTCAAAGCTAGGAAACTATTATTAAAAGATTCTTTATCAGGTTAGTGCTGTGCAACGTCTCTCTGCTCATGTTCCTCTTCGTCATCATTGCCAAGCTGTTCCTCATCGCTCGTGCTGCTGCTAGAGTCGCTTTCGTCGTTTTCAGTCATAGCATACTCTTCAGTGTACATGAAGCAGTACAAGTTATCTCTAACCTCCGGCTTGAGGTTTGTGATAATTCTGCTTCTGCAAGAGCTGTGCAATGTATGCCGCATCTCGATCAAAAAGCAATTCGGAAACTTTCTCAAGGTAGGAAACAATTGCTCTTTTCGTAATGAATGGACTGGACCACCAATAGGTAGATGTCCGAAGCCTTTTCCAAATCATTCTTCTCTTCCCGAGTACCACTACCTACCATACAACGAAACTCCAAGGGAAGGCCGTCATCCTGACAATTGCATTGGCAGCCCAGAGTTCAGTTAAAGAAGGAGCATAGCAGTGGTAGGTTGCTTATGTCAAATCCAGAAAGTGTGGCTGCATTTTCCGACAAATTTATCGTGAAGGCAAAGTTTGTAGTGGATTACCTTAAGCACCTTGAGGTGATGGAGTTCAAAAAGAAGAAGAGAGCAGAGGAGCGTGCGAGAGAGAGCCAGAAAACCAGGGAAAACGTTTATGCTGATTATGCTTGGAAAGATCTGTGTGAAGATTCGACCAAACAGAAACAGCTTTGAGTGCCAGAGCTTAACAAGTACCTCAAGCACCATGGACTACACCAACACATCAAAAGCCCTAAGAACGACGAGGTGAAGGTAATCGCAAGGCATTGGCTTCTCCAAATGAATCCTGAACACCCTGATCCATTAATGCTGCAAACACGACTGAGAGAAAGAGATGGAGCTGATAAAGAATCCTTACAAGACAGAGACAGCGATGAAGATGAGTACAGCAGAAGTGAAAGCGATGATAATGATAAGAACGACAATGATTCCATCAACTCTGGGGGGTAAAGATGTCATCCTTGCCTTTATCGATGACGAGGAAGAAGTTGAGAGGCCAGCAACGACACGCTCTGGAGGATCCATAAACCGAAGATCGGAAATTGACTTTTCTTTCTTTTGATTCTCTATATTTTTTTTATGTTTGAAAAATAGTGAAGAAGTGCCTTAGCAAATGGACAGAATATATTTTTTGAATTAACAGAAGTGGCTGCTACATCTGTAGAATGAGTTGTCAACAGCTTTACATTGAACAGAAAATACAAATCATATTGTACACTGCAAAATATATGCATGTCAGGTTTAATTATGATAATGTCTCTTTTGAAAGGGGGGTCACCCCCAAAAAATGACCATCTATGGAGGGGGGGCTATGAGAAAAAATGAGGACTGAGTTGGAGGGCCATGGTAATTCGTAATGGGGGTTCAAAAAATTCCACCAGCCCCGTAACTCGTGAAAAATGAACGGTCCCTAATAATTGCGGTGTAGACGTGCACCAAGTTGCTGTTGTGACATCCTGTCCGTAATTTTGATGAAAGAAATCGGACTTTCACGATTATGTTTATTCATTAGTCTGTTTATAGACCAAAAAGGTACTCTAGCTAGTACTACCCGGCATGAGTATTTAACGAACCACGCCTGGCTGTCATATACAGAAACGAAAAGCAGAACAGTCACTGGGGAAGTTTAAAAGGGCAAGATCTTGTTCCGATGTAGACATTTTCCCGGTGTTCCGTAAAGTGAGCGTTGTTTGCAGTAATTATATAAACTTAGTAGTAAAACAGGGGGAACACAACATTAAGAAAGGATAAATGTTCTAGAAGTCTATCAGTCAGAAATCGATAGTTTCCTTCATACCATCATGTGACGTGGTTTCTTTTTTGTTCCTTCAGCAGATCCAATGTTAGCAATGCCGTCCATTCCTACAGCGCATGGATCCAGTCACGGTCTGACACCTGCTGCAACCTACAGTGGTACCCTCCTTTATAACGTTCAGTATCCACAGCGTTACTCCTCCCCTGATATATACACCTACCACCACAGTGCCCCGTCCACCATCTTAACACCTGGAGGATCCTTGGGTTATGATTCGCATCTTTTCAGAGCTTCTGACCTGTCTACAGTCACACGGGACGAGCCTGAGGTGGGTTGTTTGTCTGTCAATGAGGTAATGAGATTGTATTCACGAAATTGTTATTAAACAAGGATTTACATTTACCGAGAGAGATTTCATGGATCAGGCGTTTTCTCAGTAAAAAAAACGTGTTAATAGGAGAGTTACTCAATTTTGCTGGACTATAACGTGTTAGGACTCGACGTACAACACTGTGACTAACCTCTCTACTCTGCCGGTAAGACGGACACTCGGTGCTGGTCTCTTCTTGGCAGTTTCCCAACCATTTCAATATAACTAAACTCTATCTACTAGTAAACCAGGTACCACTCTGAGATGGAAAATTGAATGAGGTTGATATCCATCTTAGAGAGATTTTACTTAAGACGGAAACGGTCAGCTGGTTATCTTCCAGATTACATGTATACACTTAGCTGAGTGATCTTAAAACTGTCAGATGATTGTTAGCAGGAGATCACACTTTTATTGATGTTGATTATTCTGTCCTTGGTCCCATTTTCAGAGCAAAACTCGCCCCAGTGCTGAGGACATGCCGTCACTCGATCCTGGAACCGCAGGACCAGTTCCAGTACCTCTCCATTCTGCCGGTAAGGTTTTCATCCGTGTTACAACTAAAACAAAATTCTGCAATTTAACAGGCTAATAACGCCGTAACTGACTTGAGTAGCAATAAGACAATGTAGGACTTAACGTAGTGCTGCAATTTGTATTAAGCGGTCCTGTCATCCTTATTACAATACACAGAAACAGGCTCCAGTTTTTTAATAGTTGGATATCGCCATCCACCTGAATAGTCACAAACCAGAGGATAAATATTTGAGAAACCCAAAAATTTTATGCATTTGATAGTGAGATACCCAGTGAATAGCACTGTTTATCTTTTGAACAGCTAGTGCTGAAGGCACTTTTCTTCTACAGTATGTCTTCTAATATCTCCAAAATGGACATTTTTCTTGTGTTTACTTCACTCAAGTAGGCGATGCTTTAGTTTCTAATATTGTACAGTAACCTAAGAAGGCGTAAAATGCTAGAAAAGGAGAAATCTATACTTAAAGAACACGAGTGTGAAACCAGTCGTTTACACTGTACCTCTGTGTTAACTCGCGAGATCTTAATTTTTATTTTCTTTTCTATAGGAGCTCCCATTCCTGCGTCGCATTTCTCCAGCCACAGCCTGGCACCCTTCAGTGGACCTTCATGGCAACCGCGAAGTACATTTCCAGGGTACCCATATCCCCGCAGTTCTGGCATTTCTACCGTTGCTCTCCCTCCGGTTCACCCTGGATATCTTCCGCTGCGTGGAATGCAGGATCCATCGCAACAAAGAGTTCAGTCCCAAAATACCATGCCGCGTGATTTAAATCTCGAAGGTTCCGCAGTCACTTACCCGCAGGAAATCCTGGGATTTGTTCCCCCACATGGAATGCAGGGAGCGCGTATTCATGGATTGCAACCACAAAATACGATTTCAGACGATCCATATTTCATTGCTCCTGGCGTATCAACCCATACTCACTCGACAGTTAATTTGGGAAGTCTCCTCCGTCATGAAACGCTGAGATCCCAGCAGTATGGATTTCATTTTCAAAGTTATCCTCATCTTCAATTTAGTGGTCCTATCAGTACGTCTTCAGTGACAAACCCGCCAGTAATCCTCGGATATTCCTACCCGTATGGAAACCGCATGACAGCCCCACTGCAGGCACTGCAACCGCAAAGTGCAAATCGAGGTGATTCGTATATTAGTGGTCCTATTACGTCTTCATTCATGCACCCGCCAGTAATCCCGGGATATTCTTACTCGTACGGAAACCGCATGGTAGCCCCTCTGCAGGCACCGCAGCCGCAAAGTGCAAGTCCAGGTGATTCCTTTATTAGTGACCCTATCACGTCATCAGTCACGCACCCGGCAGTAGACCCAGGGTATTCTTACCCGTACGGAAACCGCATGAGAGCCCCACTGCAGGCACCACAGTCGCAAAGTGCAAGTCCAGTTGATTCGTATAATAGTGGTCCTGTTATGTCTTCAGTCACGCACCGGCCAGTGACCCCCGGCTTTCTATCTCCGCGCGGAAAACTAAGGTCGCCACTGTCTGGTATGCAGAGAGGAAGTTCAGAAGTTCAACACGAACGAAATCCTTCGACTGAATCTGATACTCAGTCCAGTCAATAAGTGGCAATGAATTTGTTATGGTGTAAAATGGTATAAATTTTCCGATTTAAGCCCAATTTGTGCTGCAGTTATCTTTATAATATGTATTTATCACTTTCTGCCCTAAAATTGGTTATTCTTCAGTACAATTTGGCAGCGAACACAACACATTCATTTGGATGAATCTAACGCAAGTTTATAAGCGACAATACTACAGTAAATAACAGTTCCCAAAAATGTAAAGTGTGTATAAGTTCTTATTTTTCTCAGTTGTGGATTTCTTGTGTATGTATTATTGTAAATAGTATTTAATAAAAGTTTTCGATTGAGAGAAACTGTAGTTCTGCTGTGAGATTTGTATTTCAAAAAGTCTCGTATTGTTACCCTGTTTCCCCTTGTCACCAAATTTCCTGAGGGGGATAGTATCAAAAAGGTTAAGCGGCTTTCAAGTCAAAACTCCTCGTAAAATTTTGATTTGTCACTGCAATCCTTTAAAGCTTCGGTAAACCGGGAAACAAAAAACGTGCAACTTGTTTTGCAACATTGCTGTAAAACTAGTTGAATAGCGATGTTGCGCGTTTTACCAAGCACGTTCAAACCTGTTAACAACCTTATTTGTTGCAAGACAGGTTTGATGTGGGGGGTAAAACGCGCAACATCGCTGTTCAACTCGTTTTTCAGCAATGTTACAAAACAAGTTGCATGTTTTTTGTTGCCCGTTTTCCGTACCTTTACGCGGAATCGTCTCTGCGAATTGCTAAGAAAATCTATTGTAAGAAGTTCTGCGAGCGTTCCCTGAAATTACTGAAATAGTTTTCCAAGCTTTGTAATAGTAAAAAATCTGCAAAAGTGGAACCTTTTGGTCTGCTTTCCTTCCACGTTAGTCTCCCACTCAACGCTCCTCTGGAGCACGATGTAACCACCCACTCCACCCTCCACTTATCCCTTTGTAATAGTAAGAAATCTACAAAAATAGTACTCCTCTCCTTCTACGCCAGTCTCCTACTCAACGCTCTTCTGGAGCACAGTGTACCCACCCACTCCACCCTTCACTTATCCCTTTTTAATAGTAAGAAATCTCCAAAAGTAGTACTCCTTTCCTTCTACGCCAGTTTCCCACTCAACGCTCTTCTGAAGCACGCGGTACCCACCCACTCCACCCTTCGCTTATCCCTTCGTAATAGTAGAAAATCTCCAAAAGTAGAATTCTTTGGTCTTCTTTCCTTCCACACCAGTCTCCCACTCAACGCTTTTCTGGAGCACGCTGTGCCCACCCACTCCACCCTTCACTTATCCCTTTGTAATAGTAAAAAATCTCCAAAAGTAGTACTTCTTTCCTTCTACACCAGTCTCCCACTCAACGCTCTTCTGGAGCACGCTGTGTCCACCCACTCCAAGCGATTGTAGCATGCATGAGTGGTATGCTGAAATCATCACAATCATTCCAAGAACGATGGTTCCACCAATGATTTTATGCACAAAATCATCGTCATCGTCTGTGGTTGAGCGAATTTGCAGTGTTTTGGTGGGTGGGGCGGTGGGTACCGCCTTGACGGCGCCTGTGAAAAACATCAGCGAAATGGATTCTAGCGAGTTCACTGCGCGCACGCAGCCATGTACATTCTCTTCCTCAGGGCGCGTCGGTTTTTTGAAGTGGTCCTCGTAAGCCAGCCGAGGGAGGTGGCTCTAGTGACGAGAATGGCCGATGTGTACAAGCACCGGGGCGCTTGCAGGACATGGTATTTTTGCAAAATCACGCAAAATTTTACAATATTTCAAGTATTGTAATTGTATCATTGTTTAAATGTAAGTACCATCGTTTTTAGACATTTCAGCGAAAACTAAAAGGCACTTAAATTGACCTTTTCTTCCCCTTTTACTACTATTATTGTTATTATTATTATTATTATTATTATTATTATTATTTAGTGAAGAAAATTCTAAAACTCTGAGCGAAAAAAAAAGAAACAAAACGAATTTTTCGTCCGAATCACTCAGATTTCATCAACGTTGTGAGGTGGCAGATTGCATAACAGAATCCCCAAGAGAGGATTGTAAATTGCTGGTTGGTCCAGTCCCTCATCCATATTCAGGGAGGTTTTCCTTTGTTTAATAGCAATGGCCTCCTTGACTCGGCGCTTGATGGTGCTGTTTTCGGTCAGATAGTACTTTTACAATCTGTGGGTTGATGTTGTGACCTGTGGTCTGGCAATACTCAAAAACGGCAGAAGTGTCAGGGGCATGGTGTTCTTTGATCCGGGTACAAGACAAAGGGAAGGGACCAGGCAGTTTCGCCAACGTAATTGTCCAGGCATCACCATCAAGCGCAGAGTCAAGGAAACCATTGCTTTTAAACAAAGAAAACACAACCACCAATTCAGTTCGCGCAAAAAGAGCAAAAGCGATTTTGCCTTAAAATTTCATCTGCTTTTGATAAGCTCTATTTTTTGCTCAGTATTCCAGGTTTTCCCAAGTTTTCTTCATTTTTAAACCCAGAAGTATCCCCATGTTCTATTCATAAGCAGTAAAAATGGAAAATGTAAATAGTATTGCAAGCTTAAAACCTTTTAGAGAGACACAACATGGCAGGATGCAAGAACCCAGAGTATAAATGCTGAGTTTATAGGCTGCCTCAATACTACGATTAAGACCGACAGAGTTCACATGTCTCCCCATTGCTGTACTATGTTTGCACAAGGTGAGACACACAAAAGAAAATCAACTCAGCTTGCCCAAAGAGCAAGAAATTAACTCAGTTTACTAGCCTTTGGTGGGGGCCCCAAGCTAGCCCAAACTGTATTCGGTCTGCTATTTTTCTTAACAAGCCACGAAACTTTGCTTTACC